TCCAAAGAATGCAAAGACAGCCCTGAAGAGCCATCCGGCTAGAAACCGTCTGCAAGGCTCCGTATGGAAGAAAGCTGCTTGAGTTCGTTGAACACCTACCGTGTGCCGGGCATGGCGCTGAGCTGCGAACCACTCGCCGAGGTAGGTGTTTTCCTCACCCCCTTTTATAGTCCAGAAAACTGAGGCCGAAAGAGAGTCAGAGAATTGCCTGTGGGGTGAAAGCAGCCGGGTTTGGAGGAAGAGGTCTTGAGCATTTTAGATGCAGGATCCGAAGTCAGAAACTGTGCTAAACCACCAGCTGATTGGGCGGAGGAGGCTCATGCTTGGAAGGCACCAGCTGCCTCCGGCTTGTGCATGGACGAGGGGGCCATGGTGCTGGCATTGGCCACTCCTCCTCGACTCACCTCCTCCCTGAGGCCCCTTCCCTGCTCCCTTCCCTCCTTCCTGCACAATCTCCCTCTCCACTGTTTTCTTTCTCTCTCTTTCTCTCTCTCCCTCCTTCCCATATTTATGAATTTAAAGGGCTCCCATGACTTTTTTCCTCTGGGCGTTTCCTTTCAGTCGTTTATTACATTTATTTTCACATAATCATAATCATTCTGTGCATATAATTTTACACCCTTCTTTTAGCCCCTTACTTTGACTACTGAGAATGTTTGCACAGTATCAGAAATGTCTGCTGGGCCAGCTGGTAGTGTCGCAGTTAAGGCAGCTGGATCCCATATTGCTGACCACACAGCCCGAGTCCTGGACCCAGCAGTTTGACAAACACGCTAGGCACGTGCATGCATGCCTAAAATCCCAAGAGGAAAATGAAGGAGAAGGGATGGCAGCATAGCCATACCCCACAGGGGCCGATTTCTCACTTCTCCTCTCTCTCTTTCTCCTTCTCTGGACAGTGCATGTGCTATGTAGCAACATTTTTAAAAAAAGTCTTAAAGCTGCATCATAGTCTAAGATATGCAAATACTATCAGACTTCACTAATTTTCTGTTGATAAACTTTTAGGCTAATTTCAATTTTTTTCTGTTAAAATTAACCCCTTGGGGCTGGCCCCATGGCTTAGCAGTTAAAGGAGTCAGATCCCACATAGTTAACCGTGATTTCAATCCTGGCCATAGTGACTCGAAAAACATGCCAGGCACGGGTACAGGCCCCAAATCCTGACCAGATGGAGAGATGGAGGAGAAGGGACTGTGGTGTAACCCCACCCAATAGGAGTGCTTGCTCCCTCTATCTTTCTCCCTTTCCTTCTCTCTCTCTCTTTGGTGAATGCATGTGCCCTTCAGCAAAAGGGGAAAAAAATAAGGTGATAAATACCCTTGTCTCAAATACGTTTACTCATCAATAATTCTTTCCTTAGGAGAAATTCACAGAGAATTGCTGGCTTGAGGGAAGGCTTTTGCTGCAAAGTTCACGAGGCCACAGAGTGGGTAAGAAGATAACCCAGGCTAGAACTTCCCAGATGTTGACCTTGGGCCGGGTGCTTTGTCTCGGTGTGTATAAGTGGTCTTGTCTGTAAAATGGACTTAGTAATTCTTACCTCCTAGTGCGGTTCAAGGTCTAGAAAACGAATGTAAGCTCTTAGCACAGTGGCTGGCACCCAGAGACCCCTGTCCCCATCTCCCTACCCCTCTACATACTCAAACCAGTGGGGACCGAGACGGCTCATTTCCCTCAATCACTGCCAACATCAGGAATTATTGGTCTCTTTCATTTTGACGACCAGATCACCGAAACTGATTTTGCGTTATTTTAATTTCTTCGTGTTAGGGATCCCCACCAGTCACGCGAATGAAGTGCTAATATGACATTTGTGAAGGTGGATGTGGGATAAGTGCAGTGGAGGCTGTGCAGACTGGGCAAATGCTATAGTTTGGCATAACTGGATCCCTCCCAAATAAATACCTACAAAGGCTCATCTTTCAAAAATCTAATCTGACACGGCCACATCTCCTGACTAAATTGCTGAGATCCATGTATCTCAGGCAACTGTGAGACAAACTGGCTCGCAAGCTGGTCTGATAAGGTAGACTTTGTAAAGAAGGTGGCTGCCTATTTTAATCAAAGCAAAAAGTTTTACTGGGAGTAAAGAAGTAGACCTAGTTCAAACAAAGAGTAAAGTGAGATCCCTGCCTCACACCATATACCAAAATTTATTCTTGGTGGACCAAAGACTAAAATGTCAAGCAAGTGATCAAATAAATAAATTAAGTAAGAGAACTAAAAGAAATTGCAAAATAATTATGAATGACTATTTTATAATCTCAGAGTCAGGAAGTCTTTTGAAGCATGGTGTGAAAGACAAACCAAAGAACAATTTTAAGTGCCTAAAAACCAAACTCTGAACCACAAGTAAAATATTATAAACAAGTTGGGAAATAACAAGAGAAAATGAGGGGGAAACATGAAAGAGACAAACATGATATAGAGCCTTAATACAGAGAGTAATTGCTAATCAATACATTGAATATAAATGCTCCTTAACTTATGATGGGGCTACACCCCTACAAATCCATCAATAGCTGAAAATGTCCTATGTCAAAAATTCACTTAATACTCTGATACACCCATCATTAAGTCAAGAAGTCATAAGTCAAACCACTGTAAGTCAGAAACCACCTATATACTAATATGATATAAACAGAAAAACACCTAAACAAAACATCTAAATGGCCAAAAAAAGTAAAGAAAAGCATGGAATTATAACCATTTCAACCAATGCAATGACTACCCCATCAACAAGTTCTGATTTAGTGACTGAACCTGTCCTGAGCCACAGCAGAGCTCGCCAAGCCCTTGCCGGGAGATCCAGAGAGCTGGGACAAGCACAAAATTTAGCTCTGTCTCCAGACCTACAAGAGTTGCTGTGGCAGCTACTGAGGAAGTCCCTGACACTTACTAGCTGTGTGACTTTGGCAAGTGCCTTAACTTTTCTTTGCCTGAGACTGAGTAAATGAGAATAATGAGGACAATAACAATACCTACCCCGTGGGATGCTGAAAGACCAAGCAAGTGAATGCATGTGAAGGACCTGGAGCAGGGCCGGGCTCATCGGCAGACTCCACAGTGCACTGCCAAGGTCAGAACTCCAGCTAGCTGTGGAGCGAGGAGACGCCGTCCACCCATTGAGCCGTTCCTTCAACAAGTTCTGAGTCAGTGCCCGAGGAGTGCCAGGTATCAGCACTGGAATGCCAGAGCTTGTTCTGTGTTATGAAACTGAAGCAACCACAGTGAAGAAGAAATGTCCCCCGCTGGGAGAATCCCTGACCCCCACTCAGCTGCCAGGGGAAGCTCTCTCTAGAAGGCACTTTGTAAGCAGGGCCCTGATGATAAGTGGGCATTTACCCGGAGAACGTTCCAGGCAGAGAAGGCAGTTGGCCCACATTCTCAGGCGTGCAGGTAAATGTAAAGTCGTTCTAGTGCAGCCCTGCCGTCAGGGGCAGGCTTGTGGTCCGGCTGCCCAAGTCACATCGGAGCGCTGCCTGCTTTCTTGTTGCGTGTGGGCACCTGCATGTGTGCTACTGTGTGTGTGTGTAACCTCACACTCTTGTGCGACCTTTCTCTGTTCTAGTGATCTCACCTGGAAGAGACAGAGCCAACCGGTGACATGGAGGATAAGGCAGCTGGATCCCACACAGCCAACTACAAGATCAAGTCCTGGATCTGCAGCTTCAGAAACATGCCACACGTATGTGCCCAAAAATCCGAGAGGAGAATGTAGGAAAAGGGATTGTGGGGTGGCCATCCCTCCCGGGGGCGCTTTCTCTCTCTCTCTGTCTGTCTGTCTCTCTCCCTCTCTTTCATGAGTGCACATACCCTCTTGCAAATTAAATAAAAGCGAGAATAAGGATAGAGGTGAGATCGTGGGAGGTCTGGGGCTTCAGGCATGTGAAGCACCTAGCAGAAGGCTGGTGTGTTGGGAGGCACAGAAATGGATCCCTTTGGATGGGATTTGTGATGCGTCAGACCATGCACCCCTAAAAGCCACTGCTCAAGAGTTAGGCCTTCAGCAGCCTGAAGGAGCCTTCTCAGATCCTCCGCCATGCTGTTCGTTCAGGGTTCCCAGCCACCTTCCCCTGGCATTTGGAGCAGATCATTCTTTACACTGGGCATGGGTCTGTTCTGGCCACGGCGGGAAGTTCAGGTGCATCCTGGCCTCAGCGCACCAGCCGTCAGCATCAGGCCCACCACCTCCACACACTTTGATACCAAAAGCAGCTCTAGATGTTGCCAAGCGTCCCCTGGGGGCAAAATCTCCCCTGGGAACCACTGCTCCAGGTCAAGGCCTCCTGGGAAAGCACGGCCCAGCAGAGCAGTCCCTCTGCACTGGGGACAGCTGTGCACAGGGGACCCAGCCACCTCGGGTCCGGGGCCCAGCTCAGGCCTCGGATGTTTTGTTTGATCTAGGAGACATTTCAAAATCTTTTCAATGGGCCAATGCTTAAAAACCAAAACGTTTCTCATAGAAGTCCCGCTCTCTTCCTCTGAAGAGTGAAAATGCCTAGTAACGTCAGGTCTGCATTGCAGTGGGCAGCAGTGGGTGGGGCTGGGTCACACCCCCACTGCAGATGGGCCACGGGCTTCCTGTGTGCACAGTCCCAGCCCCCTTCACAGTGGGAGCCCTGCGTTTGGAGGGCCAGAGTCCGCCTCCTTTATCCTGCCCCAGTTTCCCATTTACACAGCCCTGCCGGCCCTGAGGTACAATCCATTCATTTGAATTTGAAACTCTTGCTCTCATGTGCTTGTATGAGCACACATATACACGTACACAGATATGTGAACATTTGTGAACACACATCACGTGAACACAGACACGCACATGCCTATACACATGCCCAATACACCTGAAAACACATGTGCATGCACATGTATGCAACCTAAACATATATGCATACACACATGCACAGACACAGGCATGTGCTCACAACCATGCATACACTCAGATGTGCGGGCATACATGCACACATCTGTATGTGCACACTCAGTTCTACACACAAAACCACGCATGCACATACACATGCACAGCACACAAACCCTCCTCGCTCACTCCTGCAGCCCAGGGGACACAGTATCCCAAAGCACACCTGGCTGTGAGGCTGTCCTTTGAAGTCACGCTGCCTCCCGCGGGGCTCTCTGGGTGTCAGGCCAGATTGATGGATGGGACAGCTCAGCCCTCCAAACCACCGCGTGTGTTTACTACAGCAGTGAGTGTGGGCTGGGCAGGCTTCTGGCTTGTGTAAGTGTCAACTGGTGACAACATGTGGTCTACAGAAGGCAGACGTCAGGAGCTGGGGGCACCATGAAGACCACCCAGGGGCAGTGTGCACCCGGGCCCGGGTTTCCCTGGCCTTTGGCCAGAGAACTATAGGACAGAGAGTGGCCCGGTGCCATCGGGACAGGCCTGACACAAAGATCACAGCCCTCCTGGAGCTGCCCGCTGCTCCCCTGAGACCCAAGTCACCTGGAGCGAGCAGGCTCTGCACAGGCACTTGGTCTGTTCCCCTGGGAACAGCACCGGCCCCCTGCAGTCTGCCTCAGGCCTCACGCCTCTCCTCTGAGTAACGGCAATGACGCACTGAGGCCCGAGAGGAGCCAGCCACCTTCTACTCACGTCAGGCCCATTGCCTGTTGGATTTCACTGCAGCTTTGTGATGACGGTGACGATATCCCAGTGGAGCCGCAGCTCAAAACGTTGTACCGAGGGACCTGCAGCTGGCATGACGGGTGCATCTCTGGACTCCCACATGGCCGACCGCAGTTGGAGTCCAGGACCCGGCGACTTGAAACTCACACTGAGCACGTGTGCATGCATGCCCAAAATCCCAAGAGGAGAAGGGATTGTGGCATGGCCATCCTCCCTGGGGGGGTGATTTCTCACTTTGTCTCTCTCTCTCTCT